CAGCACAGCACTTGGGGAAAGAAAGCCTCTTCTTTGCATATTGATTAATAATGTCTTATCACAAATAATTTTTTATAACTTTCGTTGTTAATTATTTCCTAAAATTTGGTGATATTTTTATCTATCATAGCAAAAGTGTTAAATTATATGGTTGGTGGCAGAAAATCTTCTAGAACCTCAAGATCTCCATTCTGGATATAATAATACTTTTTTTTTTAAAAGAGGATAATTTTTTTTTCAAAAGCCATCTTGGAGAAAATATTTGATTTAATTCAATAATTTTATAGATGGAGTGAAGTATAGATAAATATGTAAGAATCACCAGTAGATATTTGTTTTTATGACAGATTTATTGAGATAAATTTCATATACCATAAAATTCATCCATCTAAAGTGTATAATTCAGTAGTTTTTATTACTTTTATAGAGTTGTGCCATGATCACCGTTGACTTCAGAACGTTTCATCACCTCCAAATAAACCCCATGACTGTTAGTGTTTATTCTCCATTTCTCTTCCTCCTTTCCTTCAGCCTTTAACAACCGCTAATCTACTTTATATTTCCATATATTTGCCTACTCCGGACATATTTTATATTTCATATAAGTAGAGTCATAAAGTGTTTGGCATTTTGTGCCTGGCTTCTTTCACTTAGCACGTTGTATTCAAGATCATTGGTGTTGTAGCAGATATCACTACAGCAGTCATTTTTAGAGCCAAATAATATTCTATTCTTAAGTTACACCAACTTTTACTTATCCATTCATCATTTGATGGACATTTGAGTTGTCTCCACTTTTTTTTTAACCATTACAAGTAATGGTGCTGGGAACATTCATGTACATGTTTTTGTGAGGATACATGCTTTTAATTATCTTGGGTATGTCTGTAACTAAGTAGACATGAGATAACTACATTTAACATTTTGAGTAACTACCAAATTATTTTCCAAACCAGCTGCACAAGTTTACAATCCCAACAGCAATGTATGATTCCAATTTCTTTGTGTTTCACAAACACATTTTAGTTTTGGCCATCCTAAAGGTTTCAATTGCATTTTGATGATGACTCATAGTGTTGAACATATTTTTCATGTGCTTTATCAGCCATGACATATCTCCTCTGTAGAAATATTTATTCAAATATTTGTGCATTTTAAAATTGGCTTGATTTTCGTTTTGCTGCTGAGTTGTAAGAGTTTTTTTTTTTTTTACTATGTTCTGAATGTGTGTTTCTTACCAGATAGATGGTTTGCAAATAATTCTCTTATGGATCATGTTTTAACTCTCTTTTAAAAAATTATTTGTTGTTTTTAGATTATATATGATAGTAGAGTGTATTTTTGACATATTATACATAGATGGGTTGCAACCCACTACAATTTTGATCCCATTCTTGTCATTGAACATGATGTGGAGTTACACTGACTGTGTATTCATATATGAGCATAGGAAATTTATATCTGATTCATTCTACTTTCCCATTCTAACCCCCCCTTTCCTTCATTCCACTTTGTCTAATCCAATGAATTTCTGTACTTCCCCTCCCTCCCCTCCCTTGTATGGGTTAGCATCCTCATATCAGAAAGAACATTCAAAACCTTACCATGATATTTTCAGTTCCATCCATTTATCGGCAAATGCCATAATTTCATTCTTCTTCTTGGCTGAATAATGTTCCATTGTCTATATATACCACATTTTCTTTATCCATTTGTTTTAATCAGCTTTTTTGCTAATGTGACTAAAAGTACCTAACCAGAACAACTTTATAGAGAAGGAAAATTTCATTTGAGGGCTCACAGTTTTGGAGGTCATAGTCCATAGAAGGCTGGCTCCATTCCCTGGGGCTTGAGGTGAGGCAGAACATCATGGTAGAAGAGTGTGGCAAAGGGAGGCAGTTCACATGGTAATCAAGAATCAGAAAGAGAGAGACTCCATTCTCCAGATACAAAATGTATACCCCATAGCCATGCCCCACCTCCTTCAGCCACACCCCACCAGCCTTCAGTTACCATTCAGTTAAACCCATCAGGTAATTAATTCACTGATTGGGTTAAGGCTTTCACAAGCAATCATTTCCCCTCTGAATCTGTGAAGTATCTGTTCAGTTCCCTTTCCCATTTATTGATTGAGGTGTGTGTGTGTGTGTGTTAAGTTTTTTGAAATATATATATATATATATATTTTTTTTTTTTTAAATTATCTCACATGTGAGCTTTTGGGGGACACCTCACATCCAAACCATAATACCATTCATCTGTTGAAGGGCATCTAGGTTGGTTCCATAGCTTGGCTATTGTGAATTGAGCTGCTATAAACATTGATGTGGCTGTGTCGCTGTAGTATGCTGATTTTAAGTCCTTTGGGTATATACTGAGGAGTGGTATAGCTGGGTCACATGGTAGTTCCACTCAGAATTTTCTAAGGAATCTCCATACAGCTTTCCAGAGTGGTTGCACCAATTTGCAGTCCCACCAGCAACGTAGGAGTGTATCTTTTTCCCTTGCCAACATTTATTGATACTTGTATTCTAGATAATTATCATTCTGACTGGAATGAGATGGAATCTCAGTATAGTTTTAATTTGCATTTCTCAAATTGCTGGAGATGTCAAACATTTTTTCGTATTTTTGACAGGTATAATAAATGCATTAATATTTTGTTTCTTTTGTTGTTGTTGTTCTAATTAGTTATACATGACAGCAGAATGCATTTCAACTCATTGTACATAAATGGAGCACAACTTCTCATTTCTCTGGCTGCACATGCGGCAGTGTCACACCATTTGTGCAATCATACAACTACATAGGGTAATAATGTCCATCTCATTCCAATATCCTTCCCACGCCCACACCCTCTCCATACCCCTCTTTCCCCTCTGCCCAATCCAAAGTTCCTCCATTCTTCCCTAGCACCCCTCACCCTAATTATAGATCAGCATATGCATATCAGAGAAAACATTTGGCCTTTGGTTTTTTGAGGATTGGCTTATTTCACTTAGCATGACATTCTACAACTCCTTTCATTTATCTGCAAATGCCATAATTTTATTCTTCCTTATGGCTGAGTATAATTCCATTGTGTATAAATACCACATTTCCTTTATCCATTCATCTGTTGAAGGGCATATAGGTTGGTTACATAGTTTAGCTATTGTGAATTGAGCTGCTATAAACATTGATGTGGCTCTGTCACTTCAATATGCTGATTTTAAGTCATTTGGGTATTAACTGAGAAGTGGGATAGCTGGGTCACATGGTGGTCCATTCCAAGTAATCTTCATATATTTTTTGACCATTCATATTTCTTCTTCTGTGAAGTATCTGTTCAGTTACCTTTCCCATTTATTGATTGAGGTGTGTGTGTGTGTGTGTGTGTGTGTGTTAAGTTTTTTGAATTTTTTATATATCCTGGAGATTAATGTTCTGAGGTGCAGGTGGTAAAGATTTTCTCCCATTCTATAGGCTGTCTGTTCATGTTCTTCATTACTTCCTTTGCTATGAAGAAGCTTTTTGGTTTGATGCTATCCCATTTATTGATTCTTGATTTTACTTCTTGTGCTTTTGGAGTCTTATTGAGGAAGTCTGTTCCTGAGCTGACATGATGACATTTCTTCTAATATGTGCAGGGCCTCTGGTATAATGCCAAGGTCCTTGATCCACTTTGAGTTGAGTTTTGTGCAGGGTGAGCTATAGGGGTTCAATTTCAATCTACTACATATTGTTTTCATTTTCTTGCTAGTGTCCTTTGATAAACAAAAATTTTTAATTTTTATGAAATCCAAATTTACCTATTTTTATCTTGCTGCTTATGTTTTAGTATAATTTCTAAGATACATTGCCTAGTCCAAGTAAGAAAAGATTCATGCCTATTATTTATTCTAAATGTTTCATAGTTTTAGCTCTTACATGTAGGTTTTTGACTTAGGTTTTTTGATTTAGGATTTTGAGTTAATTTTTTATGTATGGTGCAAGAGAGGAACCCAACTTTATTCTTTTGTATGTGGATAACCATTTGTCTCAGCAACATTTGTTAAAAAGTCTATTCTTTCCCCTTATGCTAGTATCATTCCATCTGATTACTATAGATTTGTAGTAAGTGAAATTTAAAAGTGGGGTTTTCCAACTTTGTTCTCTTTTTTCAATATATTTTGTCTATTCTGCGTTCCTTGGATTTTCCTGTGAACTTTGAAATAATCTCATTAATTTCTGAAAAAGAACTAGCTTGAATTTTGATAGGAATTGAATTGAATCTGAGAGTATTTCCATAGCAACAATTTTGTCTTCCAATATATGAACATGGAATTTCTTTCCATTTAGTTTTGTAGGTGTCATTGTACAAATCTTATACTTTTAAAAACTGAATTTATTACTCCTGATCATTTTACTACTTCTGATGTTATTATACTATCATCATTTTTAAAACTGTATAGTTTTATTGGAATGTAGCCACACTCTCTTATTTACATATTGTCTGGTTTGGTTTATGCTAGAAGGACAAAGTTGAGACCGTATGGACAACAAAGCATAAAAATATTTAGTATTTGGTCCTTGACAAAAAGAGTTTGCTGATATCTGTTCTAGAACATTATCTGTATAAAAGCTGATCCTCTTCTTTTATCATCTAGAGATTCTGTGTGGTAAGATGAAAGAGAAATAAGAGTCATGTTATTTGATATTGAGAGATAAAAATAAGATTAGACAGGATGGGTTTTGGAGTTAATGAGTCAGATCCAAATCCTGGATCATCCCATTCTAATTGATCTCTCTGAAATTCTGTTTGCTCTCCTTGATACATTCATCTTCTTATGAGGGAAGAAAGTAACTAATGTTGTACATAAGAGCTAATGGAAGAATTGAGTTGAAAACTCAAAAATTCTTCCTTTTTATTCATTGCTCCTTCCACTGCTTAGGAGTAAACTCTCTGGCCAAGAGACACAGTCCAAACATTGCTCTTTCCTCATCCATCCCAGGGAGTTCTTTTTTTTTTTTTTTTTAGGGTTATAACTAGAAATATATAATTCTACTTTTATGACAAGGCAGCTAGTTGAAATAAGTTAACACAATCATTTGAATTGGTTGTCTGCACACTGGACAGGGCTTATTCCTTTTCTTCAGCTTCTTTGCACATGTGAAGCATGACATAAGATGTCCTGTTTTACCATGAACAATGCAACCATTTTTAGGTCGACCTTGGCAAATCACACAAGGTTCAATGGCATTAAGGGGGAAACTAGATTCCATACTTTCTTCTTTGTCTTGTGTTTCTTCCTTCTCAAACTCTTTGACATCTTCTTGATTGCTATAAATAATGCTATTTGAAGTTGATGGCTGAGAATAGTCCTCACTTTCTTGTGACTGGGAGGCTTGTGTGATCTTATCATTTTCCTCAAAACATGATTCTTTGGAATCATTTGTTGTAATTTTTTTACCATCAGGCACATCCAAGCCCTCTTCTGCCTGCGTTGAGCTTTCTAATTTGGCTTTCTCAGAAATTTCCCCTTTATCTTTCCCTTTATCTTCAGGAAGCCAGTTCTCACGAAGGGTCCAACATCTATTGCAATGTGGTGGAAGGGGAGGATTCATTTATTGCATGAAGTACATTTCCAATAGTCAGCTAAGGAAATTTCAGGATCTTCTTCAAATGAATCTGTATCACTTTCCCCTGCCTGATACACAGTAACTCGATACACCTCATCATCTTCATCAGAGAGTTCTTGTCCTTCTTCACTAAGGCTATAATCCTCTGAATCAAGAGACTCAACTTCAAATTCTACACTAAATTGATCTGAAACTGAGTCCTGATCCAACCAATCACTGGAATGTTCACTCACACCATCTTCAATATCCGGATTTGATGGAGTCTCTATTGATTCACTGCTACTGCTTCTTTCACAACATATTTCCCTTATTACACACAGAGCCAGGCTTTCATCAAAGGAAAGGGAAATACTATCAGATTTGTGACGCTTTCGTCGTTCACCAGATAATTCATCTGAATTTTCTTCTGTCTCACTAATTGCTCTCCTTCTAGATGAGGTAGATGGTCTAGAAACCAAACAGGAAGATGAAGGCTTCTCTTCTTGTAGTTCTTGCACCAGGTCCTTCTGATCACTCCCACCTTCAAGGTGACACCTGTTCTCACTCACTAATGTGCTGGAATCTGATGGTTCCTGCTGATTGACTACCACCAAATTTTTGTAGATCATTGTATATATTTTCCTGTGCTCTTTCACAGAGAAGCTTGGCACTCCAAACAAATCTCCTAGAAGATCATTTGAACAATATACAATATGTTGTTGCTTCTCATCATATAATCGTTTAGTCATAATATACTGGCCAAGATAAAATATTACCTCTTTCATAGTGTAAGTGTCTTTTTGTGCACCAACAGACTTTGACAACTTCAAAAGCAACGGCTTTGGTCTAACCAGGGTCTCTTGTTCCGAAGCTGGAATCTGTGAGGTGCTTACAGCACCATCCGTAGACACAGACATGTTGGTATTGCACATTGGCCTGGATCAGTAAATAAAATGTGCCGCACGTCTGTGAACACGGGTGTCTATCTTCAATCGCCAGTGAATACAACTGGGAAAAGGAATGGTTTAAGTAGCCTCAGCCGTAGGACAAGTCAGGACTTAGCTCCTCCAACGACAGTCTCGGAACGTGTCCGAACTTGACCAGCCTGCTCAACACTGGGGCTTTCGGCTTGGAGGTGGGGGGGGTGGCGCGGAGGGTCCTTCAAGGCGCCCCAGTTTCCTTCACCCGGAGCGCTTGGGCCTCGGCGACGATCCCACTCGCGGCCCAGACCACTGGGCGCTTGAACGCACTAAGTCCCGCGAGAAATATAGTTCCTGGCGGCGGAAGCGACAGGAACTCGGCTAGAGGGGTTAGGGCTGCCCCTCGAGTTAAATTTTTGGCTCCATTTTCTCCTCGGTACACAGGGCCGCAGAGACCGACTCAGAAGCCAAGGGCCGCAGAAGCTAAGCTCCGCGGTACCCAGGGAGTTCTTAAATCAGCTCACTAGATGTGCCTTTGTTGTCTGTTTGTGCCGTTTGCTTCCTTTTCATGAACATTTAAATTGTGCAGAAAGATCTGTTGGTTACTCAATAGTAACGATACTAGAATAAATTCTTTTTATTGGTTTTTCTTTTCCCCTTAAGGAAAAAAGATCTCTATTTCCTAGTGAAGGCATTCTGGTTTGTCTCATAAACTTGCAGGACATAGTTATACTGCAGCAGTTTCTGCCACCAAAAGCATGTCTCCAGCAGCATCTACTTTGTTGATGTTGATGACAGCAGGCTTCCAGCTGGAACAGATTCAGATGGATTTCCTCTCATTCCATAGTTGAATCTACCCCAGAAGAACAACGGCTAGAACAAAATTAATAAAATATGACTCAGCAGCTCCAGTTGTATAAATAAAAATGCAGACTTCCACCTACAACAAAGTTGAGAAATGCTTCTGAAGTGTAACCCCATGACAGGATTATCTGGCACACAAACCTCATGTCTAGTCTTACAGCAAGATAGAGGCATCTTTCAATCACTTTTTAAAAGCTTGATTCTTAATACTTTACCCAAAAAATTATCTATTTCAATCTGTTGATACAATGGCAGGTTATTATGGCTATTGGATTCCAGTGGGATATAATATTAGAAAAGATCAAGTGTTGAGGTGATGTTACCTGTCTTTAGAAGTCAAAGAAAGTCCTTTTATTTTTCATCTGACTGATAAAAGAGCCGAGAATTGGAGGCTTTCAGATTTGGAAGGAGCCAATATTAACAGATCTTAAGAACACTCAGTATAGGAAATTCACTGCCTTCTAAACTGACTTTCCATCTTTGGTCAATTCAGGCTACAAGAAATTTATTTGTCCTATAGGTCTATAAAGTAAAAATATAACTATTATACTAACTTTGAATCTTTACTTTACTATACCCTACATTACCATTGCTATCAACTGTTTCAGACTAGGTTCAAGTCCATGTACAGTTTGTCTTCTTTTTTCATGTCATCTAATTTCCTCAAACCCCCTTTCTAACAATTGTATCACAAACAGAAAATCTTTCTGAGAAGTATGTGAGAGGGATAGTTGACTTTACAGCAAGACATTGACTTCCTTCGTAAGGACACCTATTTCTCCTGACTCAACCTGTGGGCATAGCACCTGTTTTCTAGCCATATCTCACTGTTAACTTCTGTTAAGCTTACATTTGAGACCCGTAAGCTCTTATTCATATGTGCTAGTAATAAGCTACATTCTTCTATCTCATATTATTATTGTTGGTATTTTGGATGGAAGTACGAAGCCTTGCATTTTAGCCCTGTTAAACTTTATCTTATTAGTTTAACCCCATTGTTCTTGAAAGATTTGGGAGGATTCTGTCATTTAATGCATTTGCTGCCTTTTGACACTTTTGCATTATTTATAGGAGTGATTACTTGCTTACTACCTAACATTGATGAAAGATTTCAGAGCTCAAAACTTGCAATGGGCTATGAGGAACTTCTCCCAGATTTAAATTCAACTCTGTAGGCATTGATTTAGCATGTACTCTTTAAAGAACTATACTCAGAATTGGGAATGCAATGGTGAACAAGCTAGGATTGTACTCTGAAGCACACATCACTCTACAGAGAGAATCTTGAAAGAGAAGTAAGCATTTGTAAGAAAAATGGGAAAAGAATCTGCCATTCATTAATCAGCATGTATTAGTAGGAAAACAAAGTTTTGTTTGCCTAATGGTTCTTCTTTTAAGGAACAAGTTGATAAATAAAAAATTGAGACTCTGCCACTATAAACAATGTTAGTCAATCAAATCTACACTTGGAGCATTCAGTAGATACTTCACAATGTGATGATTATCTTATTCTTATAGAAATAATAATTCCATTTAAAATTTTTCCATATCTAGTATTTTCCTGTTCTTTGTCTCTTGAGAGTGATTAGGAAGCTCTTTCCAATGTTCCCAGATTTACAGGTTCAAATTGAAAATCCCGAAAACGTGTTCCTTGATAACCTATCTTTATTGACCCAATTCTGCTTTGTGAGAGACTCATCCATCTTAGAGAACAACTCTTGTCCAGATTTGATTGGGACCTGAGAATCACAGGGTACTTCAGATCTTCATAGAGATTAGGAATTTTTTTCTCACAACAAATGGATTTGTCACCAGGCCTGCCTGTCCTGACCTCAGGATCAGCTCATGCAGCTGGAGTGAATGGCATTTTCCATTTCATATCTCTACAAGGACAATCAATTCAGCAAGATATTTTATGTTTTAGAAAAAAACTCAAAGACCTGAGAATATAAAAGTACTTGTCCGTTTATTAAGTTATGTTATTGACCTTTAAAGTGGTGTCAGCCCTGGGAAGGATGAGTGCCTTGGGCAGGAAGCCATCTGCAGACACCAAGGTAATTCTGCTGTGGGCCAAGTCATTCATTTAGTTGGGACTATCCACGCCATTTAGCAATGACCCTGCAGCTTTTCAAAGCAAAGTCCTTCTGCCTGCTGCCTCAGCATAAAGGTGTATGACCTTGTCTTCTTGGGCAGATAAATGGAGGCATTAAATTGCTGTTGACAGTAGTGAAGTTTAAACCTAGCTGAATAGTCGTTCTGACTTTGACAAAGTCCCTGTCAGAATCTTCAGGGAAGCAAGGAATAAAGTGAGGGCCCTAAAAAACTAAAATTTTAGGACAAAGTCAACAAATCATTTGAGTATTTTTCCATGGATATTACAGAGTACAAACTATAAAGTCCTGGGAACTGATATATATCAGGAAGTTCCCAGGACTTTATAGTTTGTACTTTGCCTAGATCTAGATATACAGATGTGTGTGTGTGCGCGTGCGCGTGCGCGTGCGCATGCACAGTTTTTGGTCTTTTTTTCTTAAATTTCAAAATCATAAAGTTATTTCCTTTCTTTTTCTTTTACTATCTAAAATTCCCCTTTGCATTTAACCTTTTAATCCATTTGTAGTTTACCTTTGAATATACTGTAAGTTAAGAATCTGGCATTATCTTCATACACTAAGTCAGTTTTCTTAACTTATTAAATAATTTAACCTTTCCTCCATCGAACTGTTGTACCACCATTATAATCAATCAAGTTTCAAGCTCTCTGGTCTCACTTATGAGCTCCAAATTATCTTCCATTTGTTTATTTTTTCTGTCTCCATGTCAGATATTGTTATACTTGTTTTATATTTGCTAGAGAAAATCTACCTTTTTATATTCAAAATTAGCTTAGTTTTACATAATTCTTTGTTCTTGAATATAAATTTTCAGACCCCCCCAAAAAAAAAACCCTGAAATTTTTATTAGAATTGCATTGAATTTGTACATATTACTGAATAGAATTGGCATTGTTATAATGTTAAGTATCTCATTTATATATGTAGTATATAACTACCCTTGAGTCTTTTATTTGATTTGATTTGATTTTTTACCATTTACTAGAGTTCAAAATTTCTTTATTTAAAAGCCTGTGCCTTTCCATTATTGTTGTAAATGCAGCAACATATTCTTGTTGGTTACTGTTGATAAAGAATAATGCTGTGTGTTTATAATAATGCTGTGGGGGAAGGGAAAGAGAGAGAGAAACTGTTAGTAGGTAAATATATATAGATGTATATATACATATATATACATATATTTATATATGTAAATATAAACTTGCCTTTTGAACTTTTGGAGTTTCTAGAGAAATGATCATCACATAGAAACATAGAAAATAATACAGCTTTGTCTCTTTCCTTACAATCTTAGTACCACTTGTTTCTTTCTCTTACTGCATTGACTAGTATCTTTGGTGTTATATTAAATCTGGTAGTTATAGTTGTATAGTTGTCTTATTTCTGATAATAAAAGAAATGTATTTAAACTTCAGTTGGTATTATAATTTGATTTTGATACATAGCTTTTATCAAAGAAGTTTCCTTATATTTCTACTTCTCATTTTTTAGTCATAAATACATATTTAATTTTAAACACTTTATCTGCATCTGTTAAGATAACTATATTTAATTAATGTAATGAATGAAACTGATGAATTTTCCAACATTAAGCCATCTTGTAATTTTAAAATAAAGCCTTGATATCATTAATTGCTATTTTATGTAGCATTCCAATGTCTGTTGGTAAGTTCATATTTCTTTTTAACTTTAATATTCATATTGATATTAGTTACCAATTTTTATAGAACTAATACTTGTAAAACATTGGCTTCATATCAGATAGTGACCAAGAACTTCAACTCTACTAAACCTTTTAACAACCTACAACACATAGAGTAAGAGTTATCATGCATATTTTAATGATAAAGAAACTGAGGCACTGAGAAGTTAAGTAACATTCTCAATGTTACATAGCTAGGACATGGTGATGTAGCAATTTTAACCCAGATGGACTGGCTCTGGAATCTGTGTTCCTGGGTGCTTTACTGCCTCTCATAAATAAATGGAACCACAATTATGTTTTACGCACATCTCAATTTGTTTTGGAATCAAGATTATACCTACAGAATAAACTGATGTGAGTAGCTTTCCCTCTTTGTTTCTGGAACAGCCTGTATACAATATGCATTATCTGATCTTTGAAAGTATGTTGGAACTGAAACATGAGACTACTTGGAGTCCACGGTTTCTTTCATGGAGGAAAACTTTAATTACCATTCAGATGATTTTGAAGATTATCGTTTAGTGTAGGACTTTGATTCCTTTTTGTACCAATTTTAATGGTTTTTGTATTTTTTCAAATATATTCATTTTTTCTAGTTTTTAGATTATTGATGTATAGTTGCTCATTTCTTTTATATCTGTAGCTGATGTACCTTTTTTATGATGCATTTTTTGCCAGTTCTTTCTCCTTTTCTTGATCAGTCCTGTCTTTTTAATCTTCAAATAAGCAACTTTTAATTTTTAGTTTTCCTATTTTGCTCTAGCTGTCTTTTCTAGTTCATTGATTT